TCCAAAAAATCTCCAAAAAATCCCCAAAATCCTTAAAAATTCCAAAAAAACCCACAAAAATCAATTAAAAATCCCCCCAAAATCCCCAAAAAGTCCCCAAAAATTCCCAAAAATTCCCGAAAAGCTCTCACCTGGTCATCGACGAGCAGCTGCAGGGGCCGGCCGGCCCAAAAATCCTCAAAAAATCCCAAATAAATCCAAAAAAATCCCTAAAAAAATCCCCAAAAATCCTAAAAAAACCCCAAAAATTTTTTTAAAAACTCCTAAAAAATCCCCCAAAAAATCCCTAAAAAATCCCCCAAAAAATCTCTAAAAATAAAAAAATCCCTAAAAATAAAAAAATCCCTAAAATCCCCCAAAAATTTTAAAAATTCCTGAAAAATCCCCCCAAAATCGACAAAAAATCTCCCAAAATCCAAAAAAAAATCCCTAAAAAATTAAAAAAAACCCCCAAAAATCCCTAAAAATCATTTTAAAATCCCCCAAAATCCCCAAAAAATAAAAAAAAATCCCAAAAAATCCTTTAAAAATCCTTTAAAAATCCCCCAAAATCCTCAAAAATCCCCCAAAAAATCCCCAAAAAATGCCAAAAAACCCCAAAAACTCCCGAAAAGCTCTCACCTGGTCGTCGACGAGCAGCTGCAGGGGCCGGCCGGCCCAAAAATCCTCAAAAAATCCCAAATAAATCCAAAAAAATCCCTAAAAAAATCCCCAAAAATCCCAAAAAACCCCAAAAATTCCCAAAAAACTCCCGAAAAGGCCTCACCTGGTCGTCGACGAGCAGCTGCAGGGGCCGGCCGGCCCAAAAATCCTCAAAAAATCCCAAATAAATCCAAAAAAATCCCTAAAAAAATCCCCAAAAATCCCAAAAAACCCCAAAAATTCCCAAAAAACTCCCGAAAAGGCCTCACCTGGTCGTCGACGAGCAGCTGCAGGGGCCGGCCGGCCCAGGCGAGCAGCACGAGCTCGTTGGGCTGCCCGGGCGCCGCGTACGAGAAGGGGGTGCCCAGGCTGGGGGTGCCCAGGCTGGGGGTGCCCGGGCCGGGGGCGCCCCCCGGGCGCAGCCAGAGGCAGACGGAGACGGCGCCCAGGGGGCTGCGCACGGGGCCCCGCACCCGCGCGAACATGTAATTGGTGCGCAGCGGGAACGGCACCCGGAACCCGCCTGGGGGGAAAAAGGGGGAAAATCCAAATTTATGTGGGAATTTTGGTCAAAAGTCATCCCAATTTGCAAAAAAATCCCGTTGAAATTTGCCCCAAAATTGCCCAAAATGTGAGTAAATTCCTCCTCAAATTTGTCCCAAATTCCTCCTCGAAATCTCAATCCCAGGAGTCCCAAATTCTTCCCCAATTTCTCCCCAAATTCCCTCCAAATCTGCCCCAAAATCCCCGCGAATTTTCCCCTAAAATCCCCTCGAATTTTCCCCCAAAATCCCCCAAATTCCTCCTCAAAATCCCCCCAAATTCACCCCAAAAAATCCCAGTCCTGGAGGTCCCAAATCCCCCAAATTCCCAGGTGAGCACGGGATTGGTGCAGCGGGAACGGCACCCGGAACCCGCCTGGGGGAAAACGGGGAAAATCCAAATTTATCCGGGAATTCCGGTCAAAATTTGTCCCAATTTCCAAAAAAAACCCGTTGAAATTTGCCCCAAAA